TCTTGTATTATAAACCATCAGATTATTCCCGTTAATGGGGGGTGCTCTAGTCTTAAATGTTACTGGCGTCTTTTATTCTTCAGATAGATAAGTTTTAATAATAAACAATTTAATGGATTTTGTGCTATTAAATTTGGTGAAAATGAACAAAAATAAGTTCATATTAATACTGATATTAATTTCTGGGATTGAACCTAACCTTGGTCCTATGCAAAGATGTCCGGCAAAAAGAGGAAGACAACTTTTAAATCGACAAAAATAACTTTCTAATAAAGCAACTTCTTCAGATTTGGATACAAAACTAATTACTGAATTTACTGAAGCTAGGAAATCTGATTCTCCCATTCAATCGGGTAAGCAACTTAAGTCAAATTCTTCACAAGATTTATCAATGGTGGAAACTGAAGACATTACAACTGCAGATCTATGGTCAAAAATTTTGAACTTGATTACCTCAAGTAACAAAAGATTGGTTAGTCAAATTTCAATCAAAGTTGCAATATGTGTGCAAGGTGCGTCCCGTGAGAAGAAATAAAAATTTTATTTAACAACATAAAAGAGTTATATCTACAAAAAGTTTGTTTTTGCTAAACAGGAAATGACATCACAATTTTTAATCTTGTTTTATAAGCTTTAAATGTGAGGAATATCTTATCCCTCAGCTACTGCCATTCTTATGATACAAAGATCTACCAGACTTATAAGCTAAACACTCAATTTTCAGAGGGTCATTTTTAAGAAATGCTTTAGAAGTGGGTCCTATTATTTGGACAAAGAACCATTTGTGTTTAAGGCTACATGCTCACCAAGTTTCATTCGAATTGGAGAGGCAAACATCTCCTTGTTAGTCTTCTGAGATTTTCTTAGATATTATTCCAGATGTAAAAAGAGATGTTAATGCTGTTTTTGAAACTTTGTATTTCATTGCCTGTGTCACAACACCTCTTCCTTGGACCATCTTTGTTACCATTCAAGAATGCCTTGAATGGTAACAAAGATATTATTTTTGACTACTTCCCCTTAGTTCTCTTCTTATGTAATTGTGTAATTTTGGGCAAGGATGCAATGTCTAAGGGAACACTAGATATGTGTTCTTTGTTTACATTTTCTCTACATGGTATTGCTTGTGCTTCTTTATGAAGTACAGCTTTTAAGTGGTCCATGCTAGAAACATCACATCCCTTCAAATAAATAAATTTCAGTTTGTGTTTAATAGATTTTATAGTGATATAGACTAGAGAAAACATTGTTATCATAACTATAATACAGATATTCTAGTTTTTCTCTCACAAGCAGTTCTATAGATGTATCAAGCATAGCACATTTAATACACTGTTGTTATATATTTATTATTAATTTGTTTATTATTGTTTCAGATGCCTATGATGTCTGATCCAACCTTTATCAGTGTTTTTCTTAATGGTGATTCATTCATGTTGACTAGGACTTTGGAATTCATCTTCGACTGGCCCTGTGCCAATTTAGCCTGGTATATCTGTTTTGTACATGGCCTTTTGTCAGATTTCTTCTGACTGTTTCTGCAAATAGAAGTGCTTACTAAACAAGCAAACCACATAGTCTGATATTTTTCCATTTTTCATACAGTGTCATGTGTTCTGTATGAAAAATGGAGATTGTAGATTTGCCCTAAGCCTACTTGAGTAACATGCTATGTGATGCCACCATATAAGCAGTCTTAAAATAATGTCTAGCAAAGCTGATCTATGAATTCTACTTTCTAAAAATATTTACAATGTCTAACAAGTACACAGTGCCGGCCCGAGGCAAGTTTTAGGTTGGAGTGAGATCCTATTATGGCGCCCCCTTGGTTGCCCCTAATTTATACCCTTTAATTTTCTTTATCACTGAGGTGCCTCCTAGGACTTAGCGCCTGGAGCAGCTGCTCCATTCACCCTATGGTAGGGCCAGCTCTGCAAGTACATAATTATAAAGTTATTCTGAAATTTTCATAAAACTAAAAATCTGTTCCTAGAGCACAAGAAAGCACATCAGTTACCTTGTACAGTATTTTCAGCACACTTTGGCATAGACAGCTGTAACTGTCCGTTGATTCATTGCTGTGAGGCTTTCTTGACATCTGGTAGATTTCACACCTTCTATACAGAGCAGCAAAATTTGCAATTTGTACAGTTTTCTCTTACATACACTTGCTCCATGTACTCTATATATATATAATACTGACTCTAAGGAGGAAGACATTCAATGAGAGTTTCTTTCATCTGTAAATTATTACTATATAATTTTGGTTCTACTGTATTATAGATTATAAGTAAATTCAATTCAATTTTTATAATTTACATTATCATCTCATATTAGTGATACAATTTTTTAATACTGGGTGATCATAATTAAAGTACCCCTATTTAATACTCTCTGGAAAAAGATTTAAATGCTAAATGCTACTTAGCAGTACAAATGCATTTAAATTTTGTTTGTAAACATATCAAGACGAACAGAAAACATTTCTGTAAAAATACTAATAACAAAACTCATTTCTATGGTATTTTTGGCACTGCAAGCAACAAACATTTTATTTGTACAAGATACTCATATACACAGACACCTTACTGATGAGGAGATACTGCTCAATGTGGTCCTCATTCCAAAGATGTAAAATCTAAAGGTTATGTACAGTGTGTTCAGTGGCCAACCTTAATTGATCCTTTGTGATGGTTCTCACTTGGAATATAATACTACCTTGTAAAGCTGCCAAATTTGCAATATGTCCTCAATAAACTGTATTTTTTAAATGTTCCACAAATAAACTTCTTTTTGTTACAGTGCTAAAAGTGCCATTAGTGGCAAGTTTTGGAACTTTCTTTTTATGAAAATGTCTTCCACATTTCCTGAAATTTCACCATACCAGATTTGGTTGCATTTGGATTGCTAAATCTCTCTCTTGACAGCATTGAATAGGGATATTTTAATTGCCATCACCCAATATGCCTTGTTTTAGTATTCTAACTTTACAAATACAATGCTCTTTTCACTTATTGATTTTTGGAAATAATTTTTCTATTCTGCTTAATTTACATTGTCAGTTTTACTTCTATAAAATAATTAATATTGAAAAATATTTTTTCTATAAAGACATCAGAATAGAGAAATGTTAAATGATACACACATTGAATTTGTGTATGCTTTTCTTTTAGTTATATTGGATAAGTTATTAAAACAAATTAAAATGAAAAATATGTATATTAAGTTTTTTCTTAAATATTATTATATTTTTAGCATTTATTATCTTTGATATAATTTAGAATATTGTAATATTTTAAACAAATTTTTTTCATTTAAAATCTAGATTTAATAATAATAATATATAAATGAAATAAGTGTGTTCCTATGTTGTAATTTTCATAATATTCCTAATTTAATGCGAGCATCTTATTAAAGTAACGGTAATGAGAGAGTGGGTTTTTTCGAAAAGTCAGAAATCTGAAAAATGTTCGTGAAGTCACATATGAGAAGTCATGACGTTGCTCGACGTCAGCCGAACAAGTTCGAAAATTTAGATCTGGCTATGACGTCACAAAGATGGGGGCAACATTGCGAGCATATCTAATTACGGTCGAGTCTGTCGAACGCAACTAATAAGTGCGACAACTTTGTCTAAATTCATAATTTATCATCAGCATTTCAAAGTAGAAATTTTTGATAATAAGTCACGAGCTTCCACCGTCTTATCTAAAAAACAACACCCGTAAAATCAGAAGAAAACGTCACTAAAGTTTCTTCGACTCACAGATGTGACTTTTCGAATAGGCCCAATACGTGCAATATGAATCTGCACTTGTTATTTTTCAAAATTTGCTGAGCTTATATAAAAACACATTTATAAAACTGTTTATAATCATTAGAATAAATTCATTTATAAAAAAGTATCATTTCTTTTCCTCTTTTGTAATGGAATTAACATAATTCAACCAATTTAGTTCAGAAATATAACTTGTGTTTATTACAAAGAAATAACGTACTATATATTTAGAATCTACTTACATATATTATATTAGCATTTATTAATGAAAACCGAATATATTTTTAATTGCTAATTTGATTCGGGTACAAATGTTATGTGATATTTTATAAAATATGCTTGAAAATTAAACTTTATATAATTTTGAAACGGATTTTTTTCTGTTGATTATATATACAGGGGGTGAAAAAGTAGGCATACAGTTTTCATTATCAAAAAATAACATTCATTCTATACATAAATCATGAAGAACTCTGCACCGTTTGTATTTCTCAAATTCACAACCTATTTTTGCACCCCCTCCTGTATGTAAGTTGCATTTCTCGATTGTCAAAACTTCTGTTATTATTAGTGAAGATTACAAAATTTAAAGAATCAATGTAATTCATAGGGACGTGGATTACCTGTTAACATATTTTGCATAATCACATCAAAATTATTTTTTTAACTGTCATTTTAAAAATGTTCTTAAGCGTTGGAATGGAGAACATTTTCAAAAGAAAAGTAATGTAACAATGTATAAGGGTTGCATATTTTAGTTTTATTCAAAATTAATTTGTTTTATATAAAAAAATATTTAAAAAAATGTGAAAGTGTATGTAGAAATATGCATAAAATTGTAATTTAGTTGAATTGTTTCTTAATCATTTTTAGTTTTTGTAATTAAGTGTGCTTTGATGTTTTATTGTATATTAAAATTTACGAATTTGTAGAATTAATTTGGCATTAATACAATTTATTTTAAAATTTTGTGATAGATTAATTAATTAAATCATGTTAATAAAAATTTGATGAAATATTTTAAAAATGAAAAATTATTATTTATTGAAATTTTTTCAGAGCCACCAACGGAAATTTATTTCAAAAGATTCAAATTACGTGTACATCATATACGTGTAAGATTTCTTAAATCATTACATTAATTAAAATGCAACCAATAAGAGAAAAGCTGAACTAATTTTGTTTAAGGCGAATTTATATCATCATAATTGCAAAGTAAATAGTGATTCTCTAAAATTACTTTTGCTCTTCAGAATCTTGAGATTTCACTCCTGGGATTGTATCATAAGTTTTCTTCGGCTCTCCATTATTTTTATTGCATTTTATTCTGGAATAATACTGGAAATAAAGCCATCCAGCAGCAGTCATGGAACAGATTGTAATTAAGATGAGAAAGCATAAAACTCCGATTACTCCGGGGGTAGTAAAGCAGAACGAATAACTCTTCGTTATAATTCGACCTTCGTAAATATCCCGTTTAATCGTAGATGGATCGAACGCTAAATCTTCCGGAGATACGACCTTAAAATTTCGACTTATTCCTATTTCGTCCGTGGATCTTTTTGTTCTAAAACGCACTTTACGCCCGCGCTTATTTCTAGTAGTAGTAAGAGGAGGAGGAGGAGGGAAAACGGGCATAGGAGATATAGGATAAAAATATTTTCTCATTAATATCCTTCCTGTTTTAGAAACGAGGCTTAACTTAACCCTGGGAGTCCGCTTGAATAAAGATCCTCCTCTTCCATTTCCATTGGCCGTCCTCAACCAACGAGCGAATTCTGGAGAAACTGGAATGACGTGCCTGCTGGTAGGGCGCGATTCGCTTTGCACGTATGCATCGGACGTTAATGGTTCTGAGGTTTCGTGATTTCTGGAGATCGCTTGTCTATTCATTTGTAAATCAGAGGAAATCTGTTCCGTGCTGAATGACGTTAATTCGGGTGATAAAGTTGGCCGCGATTTCACTCCCGTTATAACGTCGCCGTTGTTTAACTCGGAATCGTCTCTAGTGGGAACGGATATAGAACCGAATACTTCAATTTCTTTCACGGTTCTGTTATCCGGTTGGATACGAGACTGAAGCTTAACCGGCAGATTTGTACTTTTTTCCGAGGACGACGGCGTTAAAAATGTTAGAGGTTTCACGTTGGATTCCTCGTCCCTAAAAGGAATATCGCCGCCGTTGTCGTTCCACGCGTTATTTTGATTTTCTCGGTTTTCGTCTCCGTTTTGATGAAGAATAAAGGCGTTGATTTCGTTTCGAGTTAATTCGTTCAGAATTTGTTCTTGCAAATCTTTTAATCTCGATTCGTGGATTTGTTTCAGACTTTCGTCGTTTGTAGTTTGCGATTCTTGCGACGTTTTCCAATCGTAATTTCGAAGACCTTTCAACAGATCCTCGTCCAGATCCTTAAATTTTATGTCGTGATTTTTTGTCTTATCTCGAAGGTCTTTCAAACGTTTGTTTCGCAGATCTCTCAAGCGTTTATCTTTTAGCCGTTTTAATCTTTGAACGTAAATATCCCTTAATTTCTTCTCGAGTATATCTCTTATTTTTATGTCGAAGTTATTTATTTTGTGATCGCGTAAATTGTGGGTTTTCGGTGGTTCGCGTAGATCTTCGTAATTAGGAAAATCATCGTCGTCCTCGTCGCCGCAGCTATTTGGACATCCGAATCTACATATTTCCACCGTGCATTGCATATAAACGTCTATGGAATCCGGAAATTTAAATGCGTTGAAATGGGAGTAACACATGACTGTAGCTCTTCCCGTGACGTCTTTAACTTTTTTGAATTGACTCATCAGTGACGTTCTCTGAACGCATCCGAATTCGTCGGTCAGATAAATTGGTTTCTTGTGACCGTCGTGAGCATAACACGTTTTCACTCTCATATCGAACTGATTGCTTTTATCTCTCATGGCCACGACCAAAGTCATGGGGCTACCCAACGTTACGATGCCATTTAGTTTTCTCGACCAAGGGCTTTTCCCTTCTAAGATTTCCATCCAGCAATCGATATTGTCCCCGTGAAAATTCATAACAACGGGCTCCGGATCGGAAACACGCACTCCGGGTTCCGTAATGGACGTTTGGTAAACGTCGTGCCATTCACACCTGATCCTTTTAGTTTGATCGTTAGGGCCCAAAATGTCAGGACCGTGTTGTATGATAATTGTATTTTCGTAATATCGGCCGTTAATGTCATTAACCGTACCGCAGAGATCGTAATAGATATCAAACGAGGTACTTGTAATGGCCGAATTAGGATTTACGTACATACAATTTTTTTCGTCGAATTTTCCGCGAGAGTATATGAGACCGTTGAAGGGCGACGAGAAGATCATACGAACCGTCATGAAAGATTTACTACAAATGACGTCCATATCCGCTAGTTTGCTGTTAACTTCGTCGTCATCTTGGCCGGAAACTAAACCTCGTCCTAGTAAAATCTATAAAAACGAAAAAAAAATTAGCATTTTATATAAAAATTTCGATTCTAGTTATTTGTACATAAAAGGAATTCATTAATTAAGCCTCGTGGCCACTAAAAGGCCTTTTTAGCGAGTCCATTATGAATTCGGCCAGATCCTCTATGGGGCGGCCAGTAGTCAGGATCAGGGCCAGACCACCCCCGAAAAATTTCTGGGGTTTTTAGATCCCGGATCTCCCACAGCTGTATGCTGCCATCCTAACCGCTGTTATTGTAATTAAAAAAAAAAAAAAACAGATATTTGATGAATATTGCAATAATAATGTAATATGAAAATGTGGTGATCGATTCCTGCATAATTTGTGATTTTAAAGAATCGAATAACCTGTAAACTTTACTTGTGTAGAGTTTACTTTTTAGAATGTCCATAAAAACGATTGAAAAGTCATAATATTAATAGGGTTTCGGACATTTACCTTCAAGTACCATACCTAAATCGTAATTATACTAAAAGTATGAAATCACAGATTTCTGAGTGTTATAAAGGTATTATGATGGTGATTATAACGTAAAACTTTAAATGTTTAAATAGTTTCGTTCAATATTTTATCGGAATTCACTTATTTGTCAAGTCAAAATTAATAAACCTTAAGAATTGCATTTTCTTAATATTTTTACTCCTACACGATACATATAATCTACAGAAAATATTTTTAAATACCAAATTTTCCGGAGTATAACATGAACCCCAAGGAATTTTTGAAGGGGGAAAACTTAGTACATTTCTAATCTACTTTATTGGAAAATAAATATATATACATATAATTTTTCAAAAAAATGTCTTTGGAAAATACAGTAATTATTTTACACTTTGATAGAGTAAATGGGAGCCAGTGATAGATGCATTTACAATAATGAGTCCTTCTTTTAGAGAGAATTTCTTTTAAAAAAAATATCCTTCAGTCGAAAGATTAAATTAACTTCTGTTAATGAATAATTGATGAACGGAGGTATTACTATTTTCACTTTAGAATATCCGAATGTCTTTGTGTTATTCACGATCGTGTCATCACGATTCTAAAATATCGCCAAGAAAACGTCTGTCGATCGAATTTTTAATATTATTTTCTGCCATTATTAAAAACTTACTTAATAATAAACATTATGAGAAATTTCTTACATTAAGCGCCACATTTTAGTAATAAAATACTGAAATACTTATTTAGTAATAAGTTACTTTAAGAGTAAATAAGATATAATTTAATACTTACCAATAAAGTGATATATTCGATCATTTTAGCGAGTTAAATTTTGAATATTAAATAAGTAAATTATTTTAAAACCTGGAATTTTGGTTGAAAATGATTATCAGAGTCCTCCTCCAAGTAATCTCGCATTTATTATGAGTGTTAAATAAGCCAGTTACTTATTTAATCCTCTTAATTTAGAGGTTGAAGGTAAACCGTGCGGAAAAAATGGTCATTTCGAGCATTACGCATATTTGTTTTTCAGGTTTTAACCGTAAACAAGGCGATGCCTAAAAGATTTTTTCGTGTTTTAAGAGATAATTTTACGTGTTGTTGTTCTAGATTTATTCAAAATGAAGAACTTTAAAAATAATTGTCGTGAGATTTGCCACGAAAGACGTTACTCGGTGTTGTTTTTGTCACGAAATATTTATTTTGAACAAACATTTGGCTGAATTAGGTTAGTATTTAATGCAAGACACTTGTAATCGTCGCATTAAATCTCATCTATGGCAGTTTATAATCGACGGATATAGAATCCATCAACTTTACAAATATATTGATTCCAATTTAAAGATTCTAATAAATAAAATTTCTACATAGAATTTAACAGTCAATACTGAATGCTTTCTTTACATGGCCTACGTTGCGAATATTTTTATTTATCTTCGTTGGCGAAAGTTCTCAAGTAGGCCTATTACATTTTTTCCGTTTTAACAGGCCGTTGAATGCTGCCAAAATATCGTTGGTTACTTGCCTCCGACATAAACACAGAACGGCTGACGTAACACCAGAAATGATCACTAACAGAAACAATCCGACGACTGTGACGGTAAATTTCGGTCTGGATATGCAAATATCATCGGATTTCTTTTCTTTGTCGACAGATTCGTTGGTTTTGGTGTCCTGAAGTGAAAATGCCAAATCGCCATCGGACACCACTCTAACAACTCGATTCAAACCAACTTGGGCCGATTCCTCGACAATTTCTTTGCTTCTGGAGCGACGAAACGTATCGTTAACGCTTCCGCTGGCTCGCGGATTTCTCATTTTGTAAGGTTGATAATCCTGATTGTCTTCGTAAGGTATAACGCACTGATCGGGGCAAGCATATCGACAGATCTGAATCGTACACTGAAAGTGAACCTCCATAGAATCGGGAAATTTGAAAGCTTGGAAATGAGCGAATGATAAAACTGTCGCGCTGTTTCCGAAATTCTTCACTTTAGTAAATCGACTTAATAATTTGGGTCTAGAAATGCATCCATGGTCGTCGACTAATTCGATCGGTTGTTTTTTACCGTCGTGGGCGATGCAATTCCTTACCATCATATCGAAACTCTTATCTGCATCTTTGATAGCTAACACTAATGTTAAAGTCTGGCCGATTTTTATAATTCCCGAGACCTCGTTAGCGAAAGGACCCTTTCCACTCTGAATTTGCATCCAACATCCCACGTCGTCTCCCGCAAATTCCACCCTAAAGACTTCTAGAGAATCCACCAAAAATGGCCGAAACGAGACCAATCTTTCGTAGTGATCGTGCCAAGTACAGCGCAGCTTTCGGGCTAAATCCCATACTTCTTGAACTTGAGGATCGTATTGTATAATAATAGTGTTCTCGAAGTAAGAACCAATTTTGTCTATAACTCCCAGGCCGTACAATGATTCCGTATCTCCATGAGTGCCACACATATTCATTAATATGTCGAAATAGACCGCTTGTTTGCCCAGACCAGCCGGAACGTGAATGCAATTTCCGTACGTATAATGACCTTTACTGAATATTAATCCATAAAAAGGGCGATCGAATTCTATGGCCACTTTCATCAGTTCACGTTCGCATTTCACTTCCAGCTTCGTTATTTTGGGTAGATCCGGCGTGGGAAGAGGCCAAAGATCGTTTTTCGCGATAGCTAAAGCGAAAAGAAAATTTAAAAAAAGGTTAAGTTGAAGAAAATAAAGTCGTTTTAAAATGCGAAGGAAGATGCAACTGACCCGGATATCCCGAAAATCGATGGTTGTAGGGATTATCTCCCGCTTGATTTTCGCTAGTGACTATAACCGGTTGAAAGTTACTTTCGTGGGAGAGTTTATGGTTCAAAGGTTGATTGGCCACTCGATGGTGATTTGCGGGGGGCGCGTAAGGAATTTGAGGAAGAACCACTTTTCCCGAATTTGGATTGTTTCCGTGTGGCAATATTGGAAGTTCGTGCCTTATTATATGAGACGATGATTGCGCGGTCTCTTGCTTTTCTGCATCTTTTTCGTTGTCTCCGACATTTTTGGATGCTAATAACTAAAAAAAAAAATTATAATAAAATCATTTAGTTTAATAAGAAAGAAATTCACAATAAATGCATGTAATTTTTACCATAAGATAAAGGATTCTATACCTTAAAATTTTGCAATGATTGATTTTATAGCTTTTTTCGGATTTTTTACATTTTAATTAAATAAAACTGTTTTTTCCCTTTCAAATTATTTATTAGAAGCTTCAGAATTGAGATGATTTTTAAAACAAAAATTACATTTAAATTTAATATTCTTAAAACCGAAATTATTAATTGAAGTTTAAAGTTTATACGAATCCCAATTTTTAACTGCCAACGGTCAAAAATCTTATATAATTAGTGATTTAATTTAAGTTTTTTAATTAATTAAATTTGTTTAGATAATCGGATGGTAAATTAAATACTCGCCTGTATGAAGAGACAAAGTGACAAGCCAGCATTAATCCAAAGCATGGCGAGAAGAAGGCGTCGACGCACGCAACAACACCTTTTACACCTAATCTGAAAAATAAAGTATTTTTTTACAAATAATCAAGTGTTTTACGTCAATTTAAAAGCTAAACAACACCGCATAATAATTATCAGTTATGTGCAAATAACTTCGAAAAATGCGAGTCCTGCCCTGTAAATATTCTTTGAAGTTGTAAGCGGAAAATACTGTAATTTATACAAATTATGAATTTGATTATGTTAAAAAAATGATAAAATGTTGTCTTAATGAAAACACAAATGATTATTTTTATATCACACGAAAGAATTTTCGATAATCTGTTAAAATTGCGTTTGTAATAGCCTTTGACAGGCTAGTTAACAAGCCAACTCGAATGGAGTGAAAACACGGATAATGTTTACATAAATATTCATAAAGTCATTTAATTATAATAATTATCAGATTTGAATTAAATATTCGTTTAGACGAGATCTTACCATTTCGGGATTAACAGTATATTTACCATTCCAACCGCAGCAAAAACAGTTCTGACGCAACCAAGTAGCTACGTTTGTCAACCATCTCACTTCCATCCCAACCGTTATAAATACACTCAGAATTTTCCAAACGCTATAATACTTAATAATTTTTATAATAGAAAGGGCAATGCGGGTGAACACGATCTCGTGTTTGATTAGCACCTGCTTCTTCCGTCAGTAGTTATTCTGGACTTTACACAGCATTTGCTGCTCCGAGAAAAATAATCGCCGAATAATTGTCTCTAGTATGCTTTTTTTTTCCAATGTAAGATGCGTAATTTTTAACACAATCGAAAAATGTGATAAGTGTCAATTGATGCATTCACCCGTTTTGTTCATTTGTTAATCTTTTATAATATATATTTCTTTATAAAGGATTAATAAGTGATTGCTAATTAAGTAAAAGGATCGATCGTACTTTTATACAGCGCTGTTATTTTTTTTTTTTTTAAATGCTATATTAATTACAAAATACTTACAAACCAACGAAGGATTTTGATCAAGGACGGGAGCAGCGCGGTATAATGGATCCAATCAATTCCATCAGATAATGGAAATGGTGGAGCTAACGGTTGTAAGAAGTCGTCGTTACTCCGACGATGTTAATCTTGGAATGGATAAAAGACGAATCGTCGAGCAAAACTTGATAAATCGGTTCGACCTAAACAGCCAAAGGCGATTAACCATATTTTTCTTTGATTCCGTGCTGAAGTTTCCATCTCCATTGATAATCGGTCGTGTGTTAAATTCTCTATTAAAATAAAGAGGATATTTATTTAATATTGCTTAACGTAGTGAAACGACATTTTTAGTTTGGTTAACCGGTCCTTTCTGTTATTTAAATTTCCGTTTCGGGAAAGGGTTAAACGTTTAAAAACCGGCGTGGTTTTTTGCGGACGAGGAGAGCGTGGCCTGGCTTTCTCCGATACACACCTCGGGGCGGGACATCAACACGACCAGATTCTAAAACTAACTGGTTTAAGTCACCGTTAGAAGGTCGATCTTCGCGCGACATTATCTTCGCCGGAATCAAAAACTTCCGCATTTCATCGATATGCTCTTTACCTCTTTCTTATTTTTGTTTCGTCCGTCATGCGCCTTAAAATATACCGAAACCACAATTGTTTAGCTCGACTAATAAGTCATTTCTACATAAAATTATTTCGAAACGTTTTATTGGCGTTAACCTTTTCCAAATCACTTTGTGTGTCAGAAATAAACTGAGAATTTTAAGTTATAAAATTGTAATTTATATTCATTTCTCGTAATTAAAAACAAATTAATTTCTAGTTTTAAAATTTTGAAGTGTCCGTAAGATAAGGTCAAAAACGTTTTTCTTTTCCTTCTCTACCGGTTGTGTAAAAATGATAATTTCCATTAAGTAACGTTTAACTGCTTGGTTGCCCCGTCGCTGAACGCATTTCTTTCTTTCTTTTTTATCTTTCCAACTTCCACAATGTTCATTCTTTAACCGTTTACGGTCCACGTCCAATAGATAAAAAAAAACGCTTTAGTAGATTAATGATAATGATTTATATTTAAGTAGCATAAATCATTTAATTAATATAAACGAAACGGATTTTGTTAACGATCTTTAAAATATAAAACGAGAAAAATTCGACTTAAAAATTAAAATACAAGGCCAAATCTTTAATATATTGTTCTGGATTTTCTACGGAAGAATTGCGTGCCGTTTATAGGCTATATATATATTTGCGTATTTGTTGAAAGTAATTTAGTTTCGATTTTCTAAAATAAAATAATTCTAGATGTTCGTTAATGTCACGGCGCGTTAAGCTAAGAATAGAAGCTTTAGCAATTATCAACAGACGGATGCGGATAGATTACGGTGGTCGGACATGTCGAAATAATGAATAGCTTGTCGTGCTTCTGTACGATAACGTCTGTCTGTCGATCGTCAACCCGATCATTCTTGCCGAACATTCGGGCTAATTTCCTTCCACAGCCCGGATAGAGTATAAAGTTGTCGTATTTGTAAGATGCACTACAATCCTAATTGTCTTACAAATTCTTCCGGGTGTAAAAAAAGATATCTCGCCCAAAGCTATATTTCTGACGACCTTAAAACTGTCCAAGGTTTGTTTATTGTGTATTTCGAAACTATTTTCGACTGTGAGATGGAGAGAAATAAATAAATAAATAATAATAAAAACTTGTAAATCGTCTGGAGATGAAACAAATTCAATTAATGATCCCCGATATCCTTATGAATAATCCAGTTTGAAGATAAAATTATAAACTTACATTGTAAGATAGAGGAGACCATTATGGCCAAAGTTGGTCAAAATAACAGTCCAAACTCCCCTACCTTATAATGCTACGTATTTAATGCGGGCTTAATATGTGAAATGTGTATTTAGCGCTATAAATAGCATTTTACCGAGATGGAAAATTTGTTCCTAATACGACAAAAATTGCAAATTGTATTTTAAAAAATAGTATTAAAAGGCAATTTTCCTTCCTTCACTAAAACATAGTTATATGTTTATTACATATGTATACACTTAATGTTTAATAGATAGTTTAATTAACAATTAAGTATTAGCTCGTGTCATTTTAAACTTAAGTTACTTTTGAGTTACTATTTTATTTATTTATTTATTTTAGAGCCGCAAATCTACATACACAAATAAACAATATTATAAAAAGCGAAGCTGAACGTAACTGTTACGACGTTAGTATTTCTAATATATCTATCTCGATAGACAAAAGTCCTTTCTTTCAATTAGACAGTTTTCACGCATCTCCATTTAAAAACAAAACAGAAACAATTATGAATTTATCAAATTGATCTTCGTATTAAGCGGGAGTAAAATGTGTAATTCCGTATGACGCATTATTAACGAAATTGCTTTTCTTTTTTTATATTAAGATGTGAAATAATTTTCTAATTGAAAAAAAAAAATAGTGTGTTCTAATTCCAGTATACTATGGTAAGGTTTGCTTCGTTTGTTCGCTGGCTTACTTGACATCTACCGAGCCTTAGATATTCTTGGGAAATTTAGAATTAAAAATGGTAAATGTTATACGTTACGGTACTCTAAACGTAACGTTCTCAATAAAATAACCCTTAAAAATTCTTATAAACCTAAATTATGCAAGGAAATGTTCGATCTAACAGCATCGTGCATAATTATAAACTATAATAAATATCTTGATATATATAGTATTTTAACCCGTATAGACTAAGTTGCGTATGTTTTTACATGTATATGTATTTCATTAAGACAACGTAACGGTAGTTAAAATTTTTTTGTATCAATTATATCCCATTTTTTCCGGTAATTTATTTATTTAACCAATGATCCGAGCGATGAAGCATTACAGGTATACTTCGCCTTACGTCGGTAATTGGTTCCAGGAAAACGACGTAAGTCGAGGTATACCTGTATTACAGTATTACAGGAGATAATGACAAGACATTAAAACCTAATAATATAGTGTTTATAGATCTACGTTATACACGTACGTTGCTATTTCCTTCGAGCTCAATATATTCTGCATAAGATGAACGCGTCAAATAATCGTAATGTTAGTTTAATTTACAATAATTCAATATTAGAAAACGTTTAAATAATCGTCCTTTATCATGCAATTAAAACTGCATGTATCAATACTGGCATTCAATAATTACAATTAAATGGCATATAATGAAACTTTGGATCATACTTTTTAGTAGAATTTAGCAATATTAGCAGAAATTTAAATGATCATTATTCAGTGTGTGTGCTGGCATTTTATGTTATTTAAATTATAAATTATATAACTGGTTATTCTGCAACGTGCGATTGATTCAATAATCAATAGATATAAAAAGTAACAAAGTGACTAAATGATTGATGGTGTTCAGTTTTTTTTTATGGTCGTAGGATTTCTGTGTAAATTATAACTTTTGGTCAATGAATACATTAATTTTATGTTTTGTACACGTAGAGTTGAGCTTCTATTAAATTTCCTCAAATCCTCTTCAACGGGTTTGTTAATACCTGGAAAAAATCTATAAAACATATCTATATTATATCCGGTTGAGAAATTTTAAAAGCAATATACGAGTATATTTATTTTGAAGCAAAAGAGGCAAAAAACCATTTTTTTTAATACTCAGATAAACGAATTACAAGTATTAAATGCTGCTTAGATAAATACTTGTAATCCTTTTATCCTGAATAAGAAACTATTTGCATTTACCAAATGACAGATTGATAACGAAATTAAAATATTTAAAAACTATTAATAGAATAAATTTTATTGTTCCAGTTTTAATAATTTACAAGTGGATCTCTTATTTTACTTATCCCGAAATATAGCCTATACGATAGATGCTCGTGATTTATTTTATCCATAAATATCCTGAAAATAGATGTGTGAAGGAAAATTTAGTATTACGTATAATTAACTTACAGGTATTATTATTATTATTTTTCTTTCAATAAGTGATCCAGGCATCCTAATTTAATTCATTTTAAATACAGTCAATATATATATATATATATACAGGCCTATATATAACTAAATCAAGCAATTATATGTAACTTATATTCTATATTATACGAGCAATTATTTATTGTGACATCGTCACAATGCCAGGCTGAAATTTTTTATCGTATTTTTAATTTATTTCATTTAAAATATACGCTCTCTACCTTAAATCAGTAGTGGCTTTCCTCTGTACATCATACTTTTCCTTTAACAATAGTCGTATTTAACACCTTTCGGGAGAGAATTTTTGAATTGAAATAACGTGACTTCCGGTCCAAAGTGGAAGTTCGTATATAGTTAATCGGGGTCTCCTGCACCTAACGTTTCCATATCCTGTTTCGTCTTTCATCTATCTAACCCGTTATCGTGGTTAAGGAAAGACAGATGGAGGTGGGAGTGTTGTAGATAGAAGGCAGGCTCGGGCTGTTCGAAAGACTGTGCTTGAGACTTACAAAGTTCTTCCGATTCTCTTGCCAAGCTGGAACAGTCTTTGGTCTAAAGATGAAGCTTCTGCGTCGAGACGTCCGTCGGAGAGAGGTGGAAAAGTCGCGATA